ATGCATGTTGTTTTTTTATTGGTATATTTAATTTTAAAACAACCATGTTTATGTTTGAATAACAAGTCGGTTTTATAAATTTACGACCGAAAAATATTTGCGTATCGACTGAGACGTACAAAATGCTTTATTATTAAATTTTAAAAATCCCCATTCTAATATAAAGCTTAATTAAAAATTGTTTTGGGAAACATGGACAAGGTGGAGAAAAAGGAATATCTTTTACATGGTTATAGATACCCGCAATATGTTTGGTTTTAAATGAATTTCGAAATACTTCCTCAATTTTTTCTGTATATTCCACAAAATCATCGCTTGGTATAATTAAAAAAGTTTGCGAATCAATCTTATTGTAGTCCCGGTACCTTAAATACCGACTCTGCGAGCTGAAATTGTGGCTTCTTTGATCAGGTTTTTTTTTTTTTTTTTTTTTTTTTTTTTTTTTTTTTTTTTTTTTCTCTTTATTAGGAATAGCAAACCTACATAGTATAATTTTACACAAAATAATGTTAGCTAATGCAAAAATAAGAATAAATATGTAGTCAAATACACTATCCACATATTAACAAATGTGAACTTATATATAAATTATCGGACGCGATCAGATGCTAAGCAACAACAGCTGATATTGAGGAAGTAGTTAGGTACAGTCACCAACAATAAGATGTAAGCACCTGCGTTTACCATTATTAAAGTAATAATAAAGTTTGTACTTAATTAAAGTGTACACATGCCATTGTCAGCGACTGCACGTAATACAAAATTAATCATTAACAGAACATAATTACAATTAACATATTTATAAAGATGACCTAGGAGAGATTGTTGTTAAGAACTGCGCAACTGCACAACGCACAACATTTTATTCCATACATTATCTATGGTATAAGTGATGTGTAATAAAAAAGTATCCATCTAAATCTAAATAGCGACATAACGTAAAAAAGAGTTAAAAAAAATGGTTAAAAAAACTCACTAAAAAGTGTATTACAGATGTAACGCTTGAATTGTAACTCAGAAAGATGGAATATGTCAGAGTCAACAAAGTTATCATTATAGATATCGATCATTTGACGCAGAGGTGAGCGGATACCCGCTTTGGTACGACATTTGGCAGTTGCGAACAGTTTACGAACGCGCACCTCCCGCCTATGAACCGTTCTTGGGACAATATAACATAATCTGTTGGTCAAGTCAGTACAATCAAATTTATTATTAATGATACCATGAAGTATCATACATACAAGGAGTTTACGCCTAAACTGAAGAGAATGCAGTTTATACCTATTCAACAACTGATCATATGACATAAATGTGCCATAACATCTGTAGTGCATGGATCGCAGATATTTACGCTGAACATTTTCAATTAAGTCTACATACTTATTGTACAGAGGGTTCCATATTGGTACGGCAAACTCAAGTTGGGAGCGTACCAAGGCCTTATAAAGATAAAGATATGTACAGGGTTTCTTAAAGTTCTTACATGACCTCATCACAAAACCATACATTTGAAAGGCTTTTTTTAACAATTTTGTCAATATGGAGATCCAAATGCAACTTATTATCCAATATGATACCTAAATCACGCAAAGATGCGACTTCAAAGCGTGACAATCATAATGTTTCTCTGAACAAAGCTTAAGATACTCACAAATATAAAAAAGTAATAATTGATAGAATCAGGCGTTACTTTGCGGAAATCCATTATAATAAAGATATATAAATAATCTGCAACCTTCCGCTAACTAATACAATGATGTGTCTTACCTGGATTGAAGAGCACCTCCCGCCCTCCCTCAATTGCGTTCACCAATCCTGCCACCACTAATCCCAGCACCACTACTCCCGGCACCACCACTCCCAACACCAATATTCCAGAAAAGATACACCATCGACCATAATACGACACGTGTTTCGCTTCTACACGAGGAATCCTCAGGTGATTTAGACTTTATGGTGGCTGACCGCTAAGTGAGCTGCGAGCCCGGGGGAGGGAGGCGGTGAATGCTCATAGCATACCACGCAGCCGGCTGCGTGGTTATATGGAGACTTTTACCCACTAAACACCGCCATTATGGATTGGCTTACCGATCTGCGGAGAGATCTCGAAGCCGTATACGAACGCGACCCTCCTTGACAGAAAGGAGGGCGCATGGCAGAAAGGTGGGCGCAAGAGCGGCGAGCCAAAACAGCTGTTATTTATACACGCCGATACTACTGATCCCCACCAGAGTAGCAAACGCGCCGTGCGATAACAAACCTGCGACTAATTATCATTATTATTATTATTATTTTTGGGGTATCTGTATAGTTTTCTCATCTGGTTGGTTTCTATAAATATATAATTATAAATGAAAATGAAAGATAAATATACATAAATATCAATAACATAAAATAAATATAAAAATACATGAATAAATAAAAGCCCAACCAGATAGAAGCCCTCGGCAGGGGAGACCAAACGGCCGAGGGTTAGGGGGAAAGGGAAAGAAACCGGCGGACGATGCGGGCGGTATCGAGGAGCACCGCCTTCTGCATTTAAGCCCGGAGCGGTCCGCCACGTAGTCCCAGTCGCCTCAGATGACCCGAGAGGCTGACTGGGATTAGCCCGTTTGCAGAGACGACTACAGGAATAATTTCGGTCGGCAGACCACCCCACATGTCAGTCACCTCGTGAGCCAGGTCCAGATATTTTGTTTGCTTGTCTGTTTCGGCTTTCACGAGGTTCTCGTCATACGGAATGGTAATGTCGACCAAAAATATCCTTGACTGTGCCCGGTCCAACAGCACAATATCAGGCTTATTCGCAAGAATAGTCCTGTCTGTGATGATGGCCCGGTCCCAATAGAGCCTGGCGCGATCATTTTCGAGCACGGCTTCCGGCAAGTACTTGTAATACGGCAATTTCCGATCCACGAGACCGTATTTCAGAGCGAGTTCCTGGTGAAGAATTCTGGCTACTAGGTTGTGCCTGTGCAAGTACTCAGAGTTAGAAAGCGCCGAACAACCGGAGATGACATGCCTAAGTGACTCACCGGGATGGCGACAAGCTCGACAGATGTCCACGGTGCCATCCTTTAGGATGTATCTCCGATAGTTGTTGGTCTTAATAACCTGATCCTGTATTGCACAGACAAAACCCTCGGTTTCCCCGAAGAGATCACAAAAGCGTAGCCAGTGGAGGGAGGCTACTGTGTCTACGAAAGGCTCATATAGAGCCTTGTAGAACCTCCCGTGGAGCTCCTTCTACTTCCATACGTTCTCCCGGTCGGAAATTGTCTGCACTGCCGGGTCTTGCCATTGCTCGTTGGCTAAGGATAGAGGGCTAAGTCCTTTATCACTAGAAATGACGTCCTTATAGAATGGATCATCCGATCTCGCCAGGAAGTAATTACGGAGGCTGCACACTTCGCGATTATGCATGGGCGGAGGCGGAGCCCCCCCGTGAGTATGCCAAAGGTATACATGAGGACAGGCATGACCCAGCCGTTATATGCGTGTGTCTTATTCACACCGGACAAAAGGCTGTTACGCACTTTGGTCAAGCGTGCATAAAACACGTCGCAAACTGACTGTTTCATACCAGCCTCATCGATACCGATGTTCTGTGACATACCCAGGTATCGGTATGTTTCAGCCTCGGAAAGGGTCCTTAAGTTGACGGGCATAGATAAATCTATGCCCTCAGACTTAGCAACCCTCCCCCTTTCAACATGGAGGACCGCACACTTATCCGTTCCCAGCTCCATTCCAATAGAATTGCTAAATTCACAAGTGATGTATAGCAATTCCATTAGATGGGAGCGACTGGAGGCGAATAACTTGAGGTCATCCATATAGAAAAGGTGGGTCACTTTTGTACCTCCTTTCCGAAGCTGAAATCCCCTCCCGGAGCCCTCCAGTAAAGTACTGAGAGGGTTAAGGGAGAGGCAAAACCAGATTGGACTCAGACAATCGCCCTGGAAGATACCCCTTCTTATCCATATGTGGTTCTCCGCAGCCATCATCCGCTCACCCAGATAGCAAAGGATAGTACTCCATTGTCCCATACACTGCTCGAGGAAGTCTCCAACTGTACAGTCAATTTTGTACAGCTGGAAGACTCTCTTTAGCCATGTATGGGGCACCGAGTCGAATGCCTTTCTGTAGTCTATCTAGGCGGCGGAGAAATTCCGACGGTTGCGTTTCACCACTTTGCCAATGACCGCGTCAATGAGGAGTGGTTCCTTGGTTCCACGACCACAGTCCCGGCATCCATTTTGAGCGCGTGACATCACCTGATTTAGCTGCAGGTGACGAGTGATTCTCGCGCTCAAAATGGATGTCAGTGTCTTATATATGGTGGGTAGACACGTGATGGGGCGGTATTTGCTCGGGTCTGTGATATCCTGCACTTTAATAACCAAATGAGTGATCTCAGTAGTGAAGAGGCTCGGGAGCGAACTTCTGATCGAGAGCCTCTTGAGACTGTCGGGCGAGAACAGCGTGACACACTACGAACCCCTTCAGCCAGTAATGATGCAGCCCGTCGAGCCCCGGACTTTTCCAGTTCGGGGCCCTACGGACCGCCTCAGCCACGTCTTCAGGCGTTATGGTGACGGGGTCCATAGGCGTAACACTTGCACTTTGGCTCGCCACAACTTCCATCCAAGGGCCCTCGCTGTGGTTTACGGGCTCTGACCACAGGCCACGCCAAAATGCGACAGTGTCAGCCTGATCCGGTCCTGGGCCCGCTCCACATACTTCTGGTCGCTCCAATGATTTATAGAGCCTCTTCTGATCACTCTGGAAGAGACGATTCTGGTTGAACCGCCTTGACCTCTCGCTAAATCGTCGAATCCGCTTCCCCCAAGCAGCGATTTTTTGCTACAGGTCATCTATGCGCTCCATTAGTTTTTGCGTGATATCCGGCTGGAACAAACCGATATTTGTCCCAGCAAACGCCATCCTAACGGTGCGCATAATCCTCGGTCTATTATTACCCGACCTGAAGCTTGTCAGTCTGCCGATAAGGGCCCTTGCCTTTGCGATACGGTCCTCAATTCTTTTTCTCCAGGCTGGGATGGCGCTACTTTTATAAGTGGGACGTCCAGCCACGGGAAGTTTGGCGCCAATAATACGGCATACTGCCAGTGCGGCGCCAAAAAGAATTGAATCCGTCTCGCAAAGTTCCGTTTGGCTTCCAAATAGGTCACCAGCATTGGGTTAAGAGCCCGCACGACAGCCCGATTTCGCTTGCTAAGGGGTATGCGGGGAAGTCCCGGTCGATTTTCATGAGGCATGCTGCGCGTTTCCAGCATCGACTCTTCCAATATGCTCCTCATTTTCTCTAGTTCGTGGGAGACTATTTCATCATCGTCTGAATTAGCCACAAATGGAATGTTGACGGCAGCATCCACATATGCAGTTTGTTGCGCATCTAGTGGCGCCGCATTCCCAGCCGTAGCATTTCCATTCGATGAAGGAATAGCCTCACGTCGTAGTCGCTCGAGTTCGGCGTCACCAAATATGTTGGAGCGCAGGATGTACCTAACTCGGTCTGCCAGGTTTTTATTATTATGTGTGGGGTATCTATATAGTTTTCTCATCTGGTTGGGATGTATAAATATATAATTATAAACGAAAATGAAAGGATAAATATACATAAATATCAATAAAATAAAATAAATACAAAAATACATAAATAAATAAAAGCCCAACCAGATGGAAGCCCTTGGCAAGGGAGACCAAACGGCCTAGGGTTAGGAAGAAAGGAAAAGAAACCGGCGGACGATGCGGGCAGTATCAAGGAGCACCGCCTTCTACATTTGAGCCCGGAGCGGTCAGTCACGGAGTCCCAGTCGCCTCAGATGACCAGAGAGGCTAACTGGGATTAGCCCATTCGCAGAGACGACTACAGGAATAATTTTGGCCGGCAGACCACCCCACATGTCGGTCACCTCGTGAGCCAGGTCCAGATATTTTGATTGCTTATCGGTTTCGGCTCTCACGAGGTTCTCGTCAAATCGTAATATCGACCAAAAATATCCTTGACTATGCCCGGTCCATCAACACAATATCAGGCTTATTCGCAAGAATAGTCCTGTCTGTGATGATGGCCCTGTCCCAGTAGAGTCTGGCGCGGTCATTTTCGAACGCGGCTTCCGGCAAGTACTTGTAATACGGCAATTTCCGTTCCACGAGACCGTATTTCAGAGCGAGCTCCTGGTGTAGAATTCTGGCTACTAGGTTGTGCCTGTGCAAGTACTCAGAGTTAGAAAGCGCCGAACAACCGGAGATGACATGCCTAAGTGACTCCCCGGGATGGCGACAAGCTCGGCAGACGTCGACGGTGCCATCCTTTAGGATGTATCTCCGATAGTTGTTGGTCTTAATAACCTGATCCTGTATTGCACAGACAAAACCCTCGGTTTCCCCCGAAGAGGTCACCGAAACGTAGCAAGTTGAGGGAGGCGACTGTATCTACGAAGGGCGCATGTAGAGCCTTGTAGTACCTCCCGTGGAGCTCCTTCTCCTTCCATACGGTCTCCCGGTCGGAAATGCTAAGCACTGCTGGGTCCTGCCATTGCTCATTGGCTAAGGATAGAGGGGTAAGCCCTTTATCACTAGAAATGACGTCCTTATAGAATGGATCATCCGATCTCGCCAGGAAGTAATTACGGAGACTGCACACTTCGCGATTATGCATGGTGAGCGCGCTCAGAAAGCCACGCCCACCATACTTTCGCGGCAAGTACAGCCTCATTACCGACGATCTCGGATGATGCATCCTATGGGACGTCATGGTAGTGCGGACTTTTCTATCCAGGGCGTTAAGCTCAGTCTGAGTCCACCTGAGTATGCCAAAGGTATACATGAGGACAGGCATGACCCAGCCGTTATATGCGTGTGTCTTATTCACACCGGACAAAAGGCTGTTAAGCACTTTGGTAAAGCGTGCATAAAACACGTCGCAAACTGACTGTTTCATACCAGCCTCATCGATACCGATGTTCTGTGACATACCCAGGTATCGGTATGTTTCAGCCTCGGAAAGGGTCCTTAAGTTGACGGGCATAGACAAGTCTATGCCCTCAGAGTTAGCAACCCTTCCCCTTTCAACATGGAGGACCGCACACTTATCCGTCCCCAGCTCCATTCCAATGGAACTGCTAAATTCACAAGTGATGTTTAGCAGTTCCATAAGATGGGAGCGACTGGAGGCGAATAACTTGAGGTCATCCATATAGAAAAGGTGGGTCACTTTTGTCCCTCCTTTCCGTAGCTGAAATCCCCTCCCGGAGCCCTCCAGTAAGGTATTGAGAGGGTTAAGGGAGAGGCAGAACCAGATTGGAGTCAGACAATCGCCCTGGAAGATACCCCTTCTTATCCTTATGTGGTTCTCCGCAGCCGTCATCCGCTCGCCCAGATGACAAAGGATCGTACTCCACTGCCCCATACACTGCTCGAGGAAGTCTCTAACTGTACAGTCAATCTTGTACAGCTCGAGGACCCTCTTTAGCCATGTATGGGGCACCGATTCGAACGCCTTTCTGTAGTCTATCCAGGCGGCAGAGAAGTTCCGACGGTTGCGTTTCACCACTTTGCCTATGACCGCGTCAATGAGGAGTGGTTCCTTAGTTCCACGACCACCGCCCCGACATCCATTTTGAGCGCGTGACATCACCTGGTTTAGCTGCAGGTGACGAGTGATTCTCGCGCTCAAAATGGATGTCAGTGTCTTATATATGGTGGGTAGACACGTGATAGGGCGGTATTTGCTCAGTTCTGTGGTATCCTGATCTTTAGGAACCAAGTGAGTGATCCCAGTAGTGAAGAGGCTCGGGAGAGCCTCTTGAAACTGTCGGGCGAGCACAGCGTGACACACTACGAACCCCTTCAGCCAGTAATGATGCAGCCCGTCGAGCCCCGGACTTTTCCAGTTCGGGGCCCAACGGACCGCCTCAGCCACGTCTTCTGGCGTTATGGTGATTGGGTCCATAGGCGTAACACTCGCACCCTGGCTCGCCACAACTTCCATCCAAGGGCCCTCGCTGTGGTTTATGGGCTCTGACCACAGGCCACGCCATAATGCGATAATGTCAGCCTGATTCGGTCCTTGGCTCGCTCCACATACCTTTGGTCGCTCCAATAATTTATAGAGCCTCTTTTGATCACTCTGGAAGAGACGATTCTGGTTGAACCGCCTTGATCCCTCAGAAAATCGTCGAATCCGCTTCCCCCAAGCAGCGATCTTTTGCTTCAGGTCGTCTATGCGCTCCGTTAGTTTCTGCGTGATATCCGGCTGGAACAAACTGATATTTGTCCCAGCAAACGCCATCCTACCGGTGCGCATAATCCTCGGTCTATTATTACCCGACCTGAAGCTTGTCAGTCTGCCGATAAGGGCCCTTGCCTTTGCGATACGGTCCTCGATTCTTTTCCTCCAGGCTGGGATGGCGTTACTTTGTGTAGTAGCGCGTCCAGCCATGGGAAGTTTGGCGCCAATAATACTGCAAACTGCCACTACGGCGCCAAAGAGAATCGAGTCCGTCTCGCAAAGGTCCCGGCTGGCTTCCAAATAGGTCACCAGCATTGGGTTAAGAGCCCTCACGACAGCCCGATTTCGCTTGCTTAAGGGTATGCGAGGAAGTCGCGGTCGATTTTCGAGAGGAGTGCTGCGCGTTTCCAAAATCGCCTCTTCCAATATACTCCTCATTTGCTCTAGTTCGTGGGAGACTATTTCATCGTCGTTCGAATCAACCACAACTGGAAGATCCATGGCGGCTTCCACGTGTGGATGCTGGTCTGTCGAATGTGGAGCTGCATCTCCAGCCATAGCCGATTCATTCGACGACGGAATAGCCTCACGTCGTAGTCGTTCGAGTTCGGCATCATCAAATATTTTCGAGCGCATGATGTACCGAACTCGGTCGGTTTTGTTCCGTGACGGGGATAGACGGCTCCAGCTCAGCAAAAAAGCAATGCATCTGAGACCTATACGCTATTCCCACAGTTTCTTCCCCTTTCGCCCTATAGTACGCCCGCAATGCATTTTCGTTCATGGATTTTGTCCAACGCATGCGACGTGCTCCACCAGCGGCGGGTGCCGCTTGCTGGGTCCGAGAAGACCCAGCCGACACCAAGCCTTCTGGTGGGGATGATGGATGCGAGGGGCTGCTAGGTGATCGTGCAGCTCCTCGCGCTCGGCTGGCGGCCCGCATGCTGCCGCGTCCAGCGCCAGCTCCAGACGCGCCCAGGCGACCCCCAGGCAGCGGCCCTATGCGCGTTCCTTTTTGTGTTTCTTCCATCATCCATTTTATTATTATGGGGTATCTATATAGTTTTCTCATCTGGTTGGGTTCTATAAATATATAATTATAAATGAAAATGAAAAGATAAATATACATAAATATCAATAAAATAAAATAAATACAAAAATACATAAATAAATAAAAGCCCAACCAGATGGAAGCCCTCGGCAGGGGAGACCAAACGGCCGAGGGTTAAGGGGAAAGGTAAAGAAACCGGCGGACGATGCGGGCGGTATCGAGGAGCACCGCCTTTTGCATTTGAGCCCGGAGCGGTCCGTCACGGAGTCCCAGTCGCCTCAGATGACCCGACAGGCTGACTGGGATTAGCCCATTCGCAGAGACCACTACAGGAATAATTTCGGCCGGCCGACTACCCCACATGTCGGTCACCTCGTGAGCCAGGTCCAGATATTTTGTTCGCTTATTTGTTTCGGCGTACAACATACGAAAAATATTTGGTTACCTCGCAAACGAAACCATATGCTCTAACTGCAGATATTTTAAAAAATTGTCATAACTTAGAATTAGCATCAAATGAAAAAATTGTAATATGTATCGGTGAAAATGATTACGATAATAATATATTAACATCTCAATTGCGTAGTTTGCTCAATAAATTTAGTAACAATTCTGTGATAGTTATTAACCCATTAAAAATATGTATTTGAATGTTCATGAATTGAATAATGCGTTGAAAATTACTTGTAATGCTTATAAAAACTGTCATTTTGTAGAATGTATTAATAGCAATTTGTAATGTGTAAATCAATCGATTATATCATCGACTGTATTGATTACGATAATAAATATTAAATATTAAGGAACTTCAAAAGATAATAATTCGCAATAAACTACAGCCTCAGGAAGTAACTAAATTTAATATAAAACACCTGAAAGGCACAATCCCCCATTACTTCGCAAAAATGCAGTTACAAAATGCTTCCATCAGTGGAACTAATGCCATAAAATCCACTTTCGAAAAAAGGTACCATACCCTATTACTTCCCCATAATAGATGGAAATCAGTTTTTTCGGGAACAAAAAGCAAAAGCCCATTTCTCTAAAAATCATGCACAAAAACATTGCCAGTATTTTATCAAAACAAGAACTATTAGAATTAACATTTCATGAGTTACGTGAGGCCGAGAACGCACCCGATATACTATGTTTCTCTGAAACGTTTTTGCGAGATGGTTACGATAAATACTTACAAATAAAAGGTTACGAATTAAATTAATAATAATAATAATAATAAATAACGTTTATTAGCAACCAATTCACTATTTAGAATAAATAACAACATTTACAATAAATAACAATTTTTTAACCACAGCATTATTTCTTGATTTATCGAAAGCCTTCGATCTCGTTGCGCGCAGCATACTATTACGAAAACTGAAAATGGTCGGTGTCAGAGGACTTCCACTAAAATGGATATCTTCCTATTTAGCTAACCGTAGACAATGTGTCGTTAATAAAAAAGATTGTAGGAGAGGAAATTCTGTCCTTCTCATCTTCTTATAAAGAGAACAAACATGGCATTCCTCAAGGTAGCGTGCTGGGTCCAATGTTGTTTCTTCTTTATTTAAATGATATAACTCTAATCACAGTCATAAATGTACGAGGGTGGATTGAAAAGTACTCGGCCTAAACAAGAAAATAAACACATACTAAATCAGTTATATTTTTATTATTCTACATAATCACCATCAAGTTCAATACACTTTTGCCACCTCCCCTTCCAAGCATTTAGACCGTTGAAAAAAAAATGATTCTTCCTTAGAGTCAAAATATGCGTCCACAGCTGCTTTGACCTCGTCGTTTGTCGAAAATCTTTGACCTCCCAAGTGCTTTTTTAGGTTAGGGAACAGAAAGAAGTCTGATGGTGCCAGATCAGGTGAATACGGCGGATGCGGTAACAGTTTAAAGCCACAGTTGTCAATTTCAGCCATTGACTGTACTGACGTGTGAACACGGGCGTTATCTTGATGAAACAGGACTTTTCTTCTGAGCATTCCTCGACGTTTTTCTTTTATTTCCTCTCGTAAACGACGTAGTAAGGTGCAGTAGTAATCAGAGTTTATAGTCTGACCCCTTTCAAGATAATCAATCATAATCACACCTTTCGAGTCCCAGAATACTGAACCCATCACCTTATTTGCCGACAAAATCGACTTAGCCTTTTTAGGGGGTGGTGAACCAGGTCTTCTCCACTGTTTTGATTGTTGTTTTGTTTCCGGTGTACAGTAATGAACCCATGTTTCGTCCATGGTAACAAAACGATTCAAAAAATCATCTGCATCGGCTTCAAATAACTCCAAACAGTCGCGTGAAATAGTCAATCGCGTCCTTTTTTGTTCAACTGAAAGCAGTCGCGGAACCCACCTCGCAGACACCTTGTGGAAACCCAACTCGTTGACAATGATGTTTTGAGTTCGTTCATAAGAGATGCCTATAATCTCGGCTATCTCTCTAATTTTTAATCTGCGGTCTCCCATTATTAAATCAAGTACTTTTTTAATATTTTCGTCAGTAGTTGACGTCGAAGGCCTTCCAGAGCGGGGTTCATCTTTCACACTCTCTCTACCACGCTTAAATTCTGGTATCCATTTTTTGACGGATGGATATGACAGAGCACAATCGCCTAATGTACTGACCATGTCATCATGGATGGCTTTTGATGATAGCCCCTTCTTATGGAGGTACTTAATGACGGCACGCTGCTCGATTTGCTCCATTCGCGGAAATTATGTCCGATTACTTTGTTAATAAATTTATAAAATCACAACTAATTATCGCACCCATTTCGAACTTCAGATAATGAACTAGTCTGAACTGAACTAAATAATGTGGGCAGATTTGATTTTTAGAATTGAATGGATCTGTGTTAGGCCGAGTACTTTTCAATCCACCCTCGTATTTTATTCGCGGACGATATTTCAATAATTGTAAGCACTAATAAGAAGCAAAATAATTCAATACGTAATCATGAAATCGACATTAACAACACAATTGATACAATTATTAAATGCCTAGACAAAATTTAAAAATTAATCTTAATAAATCAACTTATATTCAATTTAATAAATCAAACACACACAAAATACAATTTTAATCTTAATATCGACAAATTAAACGAAGTAACACAAAATAAATTCCTAGGAGTAATAATCGATCAAGATTTAAGCTGGAGAGGTCACATACATCAACTATGCAGTAGAATTAACCAATTTGTTTATGCACTTAATAAAGTAAAAAATGTTACAGACAAAAAAACTGCTGTTCTAACGTATCACGCTTACATAGAATCTTTACTACGTTATGGTGTTGTAATATGGGGCAATGGTACAGTTAACAGAGATTATTTACTGCGCAAAAGAAATGCATTAGAGCTATTGCTGGAATCGCACCGGATAAATCCTGCAAACCAATATTTAGGAGACTAGGTTTGTTGCCACTACGATCTCTGTATATCTACGAAGTTTGTTTCGTACATAAACATAATAATCTGTTTACAAAGGCATGTGATATGAATATAAGACTAAAGAGAAATGCAAATAGACTTGTATTAGATGATGTACCGCGATCAAACAAATATAGTAAAAGCTGTTTAACCATGTGTATTCGAATCTATAATAAAATACCAAATGAAATCAAATCGAATAATAATAATATATTTAAAAAAAATTATTGACTTATCTCAATGAAAATCAATTTTATGACATCAAAGAACTATTTGTTAAATGTAAATGATATATATTTTTTAATGAATTGTTTTGTATTATGATTAGAAAATTTCATTTGTATATGTGCTATTTATGTAAATTTGCATGCTATCACAATCACATAGCAAACATGTTGTGCTTTAAGAATTGTACCATCCTTATCTGTCCATGTTTTATGCAAATAAATAAATAAATAAGTAAAGATCCAACCAGATGGAAGCCCTCGGCAGGGAAGACCAAACGGCCGAGGGTTAGGAGGAAAGGGAAAGAAACCAACGGACGATGAGGGCGGTATCGAGGAGCTCTATCTTCTGCATTTGAGCCCGGAACGGTCCGTCACGGAGTCCCAGTCGCCTCAGATGACCCGACAGGCTGACTGGGATTAGCCCATTCGCAGAGACCACTACAGGAATAATTTCGGCCGGCCGACCACCCCACATGTCGGTCACCTCGTGAGCCAGGTCCAGATATTTTGTTCGCTTATTTGTTTCGGCTTTTACGAGGTTCTCGTCATACGGAATGGTAATGTCGACCAAAAATATCCTTGACTGTGCCCGGTCCATCAGCACAATATCAGGCTTATTCCCAAGAATAGTCCTGTCTGTGATGACGACCCGATCCCAGTAGAGCCTGGCGCGGTCATTTTCGAGCACGGCTTCCGGCAAGTACTTGTAATACGGTAATTTCCGGTCCACGAGACCGTATTTCAGAGCGAGCTCCTGGTGTAGAATTCTGGCTACTAG